AAACCATATTCCAATAACAACTGTCTTCATGCACAATATGTTTGTTAGTAGATTTATAGGAACCAAGTTGTTTTATATTCACAATGTTTCTCTGTGAAGTAATTTTTATAATTTAAAAGTTTTAACGGTAAACGTCTGTAGTTAAATCATGGTCAATATTATTTATGTTATTTTGAATATAACCTACAAGGTATGAATGTTTAGCATTTATCTTTGGCCAAAGAATTTATAAAATCTTATTTTTTTTTTCTTAATATATTAATAAATATAATCGAAAAATTGAAATCGTAAATTCGAAATATTAATTGATCGATATTAATCGTTTGCGTTATAAACGACAAAAGTGTTGAATTTGAATAAAATCCAACCCAATATCTATATCAAATAATGAAAGCATGTTAAGTGCGGCACTAGCGCGTAACCTATTTCGTTTCTTTGCCTTCTCGGAGTTTCGACTCAGACGACTACTTGTGACGTCACAATCCAGTGTCCTGGCTTTCTTCTGTTAGGAGGTGTTGGCTCAGCAGGCTCTCTCGACGATCCATTCTAACCGCGATACACTAAGAGACTCCTTCGGTGAACTCGACGACCCACTCGGCACTCGCTGCCCGGCTCTCAACTCGATCGACTCCGCATGGATTGACTCGCTAGACGAGACACCAACTCGATACTGACTCTCCCTCCGCGTACCAGCAGGGTTTATATAGCCTTTGGCTGGTGTTCGAGAACATTCTGGGCTAATACGGTAAGAATTCGTTCCAGAAGATTCTCCATCAGTCCATGGCATATCTCCAATTTTGTCGCCAAATGGGTAATTTCTCGCCAAATGTGGCAACCATGCCTTTCTTGCCATTTTATGGCAACCCTAAAACTACTTTGCGAGGAAGCCATCTTACCTTGCTTGGATATTTCGTAACAATACTATATTTATTCTACCGCGGACATTTGACCTAGGACCAGTGATACTTTCTAAAATTTAGATATCGCCTTGGCAATCATAAACTGTAAACTTTAGATAGATTGGCAGAGAATTATCGCTGAGTCTAAAGTGACAATTGAAACTTGAGAAGGGTGCAAAAGACTCTTTATTTAAAACACAGAAGAACAGAAGGCACACTTAGTGCTTACAAGCTCAGCCATCCACTTGTGGGAAGATAACTTAAAGTGCAGTAAGTTTAAATGCAAAATTTAAATTAAAATAAACTAGTAGCCAAAGGCTACACAGATCAATTATTGCGAAATTGGCTCAAAACTTAACCGGCGCGGATATCGACTTTTGACAATTATAAAGCAAAGCCGAAGATTACAACCTAGCAGCGTGGCCTCGATAGGTAGTACATGCTCTGTCTTACAATCTAAAAACTCACTTCAAGTCCCAATCACATGTTTCCACTACGAGGGACTGTACGTCGAAAGAGACGGTGTCTTCCTGTTTCCGTGCTTGTCGAAAACGCTCCTGTTTCCGCGAAATCATCAATCTTCATTATCCCCCTTCCCAGAGGGGTTACTTAGTGAGGGACCGAGTGGACCTTGGTCTTTTCCGAAATGTAGGAATGCAAAAAAATTTAAAATAAATAATCGAAAAATATTTACGATCTCAGATCTTTGCATGAATGAAGCTAATACCGTATTTAAAAGGGAAGAGATGTTCAAACTCTGCGATGAATTTGGCAATGAACTAAAAGATCGTTTTCTAAATTAAAAAAAGAATATTCTTCCAAAATTCTGTATAAAAGTGAGTTATAATGAAATCTTTCAGAATAAATATTCGCTCTAAAACGAAGTTCTGAGATGACGTTTGTGCTTCTAAAATGAGCATTTGCAGCTTTTAATTCTTTTATTTATTCAAATCCAAATAAAAGCTTATATAAGCCATTCCGAATTCGATACTGATAACCTTTATAAAGGGTTAAAGATTTTTTTTCCCTTTTAGTTTCAGTAATGTCTAAAACATCCATATTGATTAATATAAGATGTGAAAATAACAGCTAATACTGCAGCAGAATTACAAATAGAATGAAATTAAAGATTTCGAGAGGATCCTAAACTTAACGAAGACACAAAGAAACTGCCCAGCTAATTGGAATTGCCAGCTCACAAGAATTATTCACAAAGAAACTGCTCAGCTCTTCTTAAGGACTTTTCGTGACATTCCCTGGGGAACTGCGGAAGGAGGACTGTACTCTGCGATTTCGCGGGAACAGGAAGAATTTTGAAAAACACAGAAAGAGGAATCACAGAAACAGAACTAATTCGAAAGGGACAATTCTCAGAACTCGCACATTTCCACGAAACCTACGTAGGGTTAGCATTTTCACTTACTGCAAAGGCTTGAACGCCAAACAATAATCGAGTATCGCTCACACTGGGATCACGTGATTCTTCAGAAGCAAAACTTTCGTCTGATTGCTTGATCTCTACCCGGGACAGAGCTGCAGTCGAAACACTTTCGGCGAGGTTTAAAAAAATCCCGCGTAATCGGTGCGTCGTTTCCGTAACTAGGCGGGACTTCGCTTCCAGCGGCGCTTTTTTTTTTAGATGTGATAACTCCTTTAAATGCACACGAAATAAATTTACATTGTGACAGGAAATCAGAAAGGAGAAGTGACAGTAAAGAACAAAAATATAAAATAACGGTTAATGAGCATAAAGGAATCTTAATTATTTTTTTTAAAAAACGAATTAAACCTGGGACTAAATTTTATTTACGTTTTAGAGAAAGGCTCTTGATTTTGTGTTATAGGCAATAAAGGAAGGTTAAAAAAAAAGTCAAGGGTTGCCCATTTCTTTTGGTGATTAACTCTTTCCATTCTTATCATTAATAGCCGGAAGGCATATATTCGGAGAGTTTGCTCTTTTGGAAGGTGTTGGTAAGTTTTGTATACTTAAAAGAAAGGTTTTATTGTTATTAAAGGGTACTTTCGTGTGTGTGTGTGTGTGAAAAAAACAAAAAAAAAAAAAAAGTAAATCAAATTTCTAACTTTAATTGTCCCATAACTCCCCATTTTGATTTGGCTACTTCCCCTTTCTGTCCTAAAAAAAATAATAATTGCTTATAATAAATCTCTGATCTGTTTCATTTCGAATTAATACGCTTCATATGATTCTTATATAACAATGATGATGCAGGCGCTTATATAAACGCTTCAATAGATAAAATTACAACTGCAACCGAAACTTTTCATGAATAACCAATAGAAACATTGGAAAAATTGTGAATTAAAACCCAAATTTAAATGATTTTAAATGACAAAATTTTGAATAATTCTTTTTTAATTCTTGATAATTAACAGCTTTATTTTATTTTTAATAATATATTTAGTTGATAATAACGCATTTCATTCGTTTAATTGCTGCATTACATCTATTGATATCTAACACATCTAAGCGATATGCAAATTTATACATAACTTTTTCAGCGCTGTATAATAATTGAGTTTATTGTTACCTTTATTATTATAATTTAGTTACGGCTATTTTGAGACTCTAAACAAACGCTGATTCTGTCATGGGTTAAAGCCCACCATCGGTCGAACGGTAACATCGCTGAATACTGATAGTTCCAACCTGGGTTTGATTGCAGGCGAACGGGCTGGCTGCATGGGCGTTTTCGTGGTTTTCCCCATGTGTAAGGTGTATAAGAGTTAGTTTCCCTCAGAAAGTCCTCCACGAAGGCATCTCTCCCTTTTGGCATATAGCCCTAGTGTGCTTTGCCACAATCTACTTAACCAAAAACAGCCGATGGATATATAAAGTATTTTCTTCCTCCTCTCCTTCCAGCATGCCTTCGCGCTGTAACGGTAGCACACTCGGCAGATCCAGGTTCGAGTTCTGGTGAGGGCATTGCACATTTTTCATCTCTGCTGCTTCCTAAGTTCCTAATGAATCTACAATCGCACCCGAACTAAAAGGTGGTGGACAATAAGTCATCATCACTAGAATTTGGTTATAGGTTCCCTTAATCCCTAGTTACTCTTTAAAAAAGTGGGAGTTCATAAGGTATTATTTCCCTCGTTCTAGCATTCCTTCGTGGTGTAAAGGGTAGCAAACTCGGCGCGTATTCAAGAGGTCCAGGTTCAAGTCCCGGAGAGGGCAACGCTCATTTTTCATGTCTCCTGCTTCAAAAAAAAAAAAAAAAAAAAAAAAAAAACTTAAAAAACCTAATGACTAGAGTTTAAAAGTCACTGCGACAGATAAACAACTGCTAGTAAAACATTGAAATGCTAACATGCTTCGTTAAAGATAAATTTCGCAACAAATTAAATAAAATGAACTGTGTACTTACCAATAAAATATTTTGAAATAGACCTTTAAAGAACAACAAATGACAAATATAATGATTCAAGAGCCTCAAAACACATGTAAAAAATATACGTGGATATTTTCCGTTATAGGATAGCACACACCAAGCATTTAGTCTTAATTGAACCTAATTAAATAACTATATATATAATATCTGTAATATCCTGATGATTCTTTACTGCATATATGTAATGATAACTCCTTGTAATAACTTGGCAAGAGCTGGTGGTATCACAGATGTATATGCAGTTAGTCGTGGCCGTAGCACATAAAATCACATTCACAGACGTGGCCGAAGGCAACAGAGGCAAACGACACGTCTTAGCAAGAGCAGAGACGATAGTAGAAATGGTGAGATTTATTTCGTAGATATAAATATGACACTGCAGACAGACGTGGCCGAAGAAAAGACATAATTGTATTCCTTGATAAAGCATGCCTTGGGAAGCATAATCAGGTACACCCATTATCATGGACGCAATATGGACCCAATTAAATGCGTGCATATTGCTATGGTTTTCAAGGCTTGCTTTTATAAAGGAATAAAATGATGTCTTGTCTTCGGCCACGTCTGTGTGCAGTATCATCATTATGTAATAAGCAATAAACCTCTCCAATTCTATTAAGACTATCGCCTTATCATCAAGAGATATTTCAGTTATATTCCACATATACAAAACTTAAAAATGGATACTTACTACCACCAATCCATTTTCAGCTGAAGCATCAATAGTGGCGCCAAACCATTGATTAGATTTACTTTCTGTGTATACTATGTCTCTGCCAATGCTCACAGTTTTGGGTCCTGAAAGACACAGAAAATATGCTTAAAAACTATTTTTACTTATTATTTTTTTATCTTTATTTTATTTCATTAAACACCAAACGGGCTTATTTTCATTTCGAGAATAAAACTGTGTCTTGGTATTTTTCAAATTGACATTTTTATTGGTCTTCCTGTTTGAAAGTAAGTACTCTTATGGTCAAATTTTCCAAATTTTTTTAGGGAAAAGACCAGTGGTCGGGCGGATAAGATCTTTTAGCATTGGCAATTCATCCCATGTTCAAATCCCGAGAAACGGATTGCCGAACGACAGTTTTCATGGTTTTCTCCGTGTGTAATGAGCATACGCGTCAGTTTACCTAAGAAAATCCCCCACGAAGGGAAGTGATAGCATATAGTTTTAATGTGCTGTGCTCTAATCCAATAAAAACCAATTCATAATCTAATGCCATCTACTTTTTGGTTCATCTATGTACAATTTTCATCTTTCTTTTCCATAACCTCCTTCGTATTTGTGCAGCACTTTTCCTTGGCAAAACAGATGCTAGACATCTTTTTGAAATTGATTTGCAGGTACAATGTGAATACGCCATGAAGTTTTTAGATCTGCTGCACTTGTACCGCATCGAACTATAACAACGAACACATGACGAAATCTTAAAACAAGCTGGTACTGATAAAGATTTATTTATAGCTACATCAATGAATCGAATGAAAGGCAGGTATTTTCGACAGAATGCAAGCTGTTGTATATTTAAAAAATATAAATTTATGCGCATTGGATATCATTGCAGCTATACAGGTGTAATGTCATAGCTTGAGAATTTTAGACCAATGCGTCAGAAACTGCATTTTGCTCATTTCCCTGGATGAAAAAAAATTCTTCCATATATACAGTTTGTGCGAACTCACTGAAAGTGACCGTTGTTACATGGTTAATGTGATTCTTGTTAGATACATGACTGAAGAGCTTTTGGAATTATATGAATGTTTAAATGTTTGTTTGGAAAGTGCTTAAGCAGTTAAACTTTTCAAAATACTTCTCTATTCCGCAACAACGCTCCTCAGATCTTCTCAGCACCCACATTGAAATATTACGGTTTAAAACAAGTTGTTGATGTACTGTAGTAGTGTTGTGCAAAAGTAAAGTGCCACTCAACCGGGATAACGGTTAGTGACTCTGACTAACGTATCGAAGGGTCCGGGTTCGAATCCCGGAGAAAGCATGCATATTTGTAAATGTATAGTGCCTTTGCGGCATGGGACACTCTAAATATATGGCGAGACGAATGTCCTCTCGTATGGTTTGGTGGTACGGGAGGAGGGGTGGTGGACCCTCAGACTCCCCCCCCCGGAGTGTCACTTATATAGTGCCAACGACAGGAGTAATCTTAACTCCTTGTCAGTTGTCACGATGAATTTTGTGGGCTTGTTCTAATGAGGTCAAATAAGTCAGATTAGTCACAACACTATTTAAGTTTAACCGAATTTGCATTCTTGCGAAAATCGACGAAAAAATAGGAAATACAGAAAAGAATGAATATAAAAGTAAGTTAATTAAACAACCTTAATCACAAAAATTAAATTAAGTTTATTTTAGGTTATTTAAACATGGCAAAATGCGCGAAGGCTATCTGCCTGAGAGGAGGAATGTTTAATGGAGAATTTTCTAAGGGAAACTGTTTCGTAGTCACGTTACACCTGGGGAAAACCGCGGAAATTAAGCATGCAGCCAGCCTGTTCGCCTGGGATCTAATTCCTTGCATTCAACGGCCTTAACTATTCGACCGCTGGTGGGGCCTAAATTAACTTAAAGATCGCTTCATTTTTAAAACAAATGTCATTAAATTGCAGTGCTTTTAGTATTTGCATAGACCTATTTGCAATTCAACAAAGTCGAAGGTACGTTTATTTATTATCTCGTATGAGGTCTTCTATCACCAGTGTGCTTAGAATTGAACTAAGAAATACATAATGTGATGAACCTAGCTTAGGGCCTTGAAGGCTTGTTTCTTATGCCTTTAAAGATATATGAAAAGAAACTGGAATGATGACTTAAGAATTAAAGAAACATTAAAATATATAATCTTACCAGTAACGTCGAAAGGAATGATGTTGCAGAAGGAAGTCGATTCTGTTCCGCATCTATAAACGGCTCCGCCTTCGGTAACATTAGGCTGGCTTGTCGTGGCCGCAGGCGCTCCTACAAGAATCCTACATAAGAAAAAAAAACTCATTAAAACATCAAATTTCAGATATTACAAATTCTTTAAATACTCATATACGTGGTAAACCCGAATATACTGTCTTACTAAGCGTTACTTAGTTTTAAACAAAATGCATAAATTATTTATCAATTCTATCAAATTTATGAGTTCTTCTATATTTAGTGGCTAAAGCGAATGATTTCTGCTAATTGATATCCAGTTCGAATAGATGAATTAATTCTTCTCGAATTGATTCCCCATAAGCTGGTCGGGAATGCGTTTCATTAGCACGTACCAGCTGACCATGAGAATGTATACCAAGTGACCTCAAAAGTCTTCCACGACAGATATATTGTGCTATAAAAGTCCAAAGGGGCTTTGTCCCTGAAGGACTATTATTTTTGTTTTGCGATTTTGCGTCGATTCACTACAAACGGCGAAACACTTTTCAAACTATTGCCACAAAGTATTATCGCCCTGTGTTATATTTAAAGAAATAAAATGAAAAAATCTGCATAATATGTATATTCCACATGTGATAAAACAACGGTACATAGAGCCATTGATTTTAAATGACGTAATCTCCTACGAATATGGGAATGAAGACCAAATTTGAATTTGTTTGTATTATGGATTTCCTATTTTGTAAAACTTTAACGAATTTTCGATAACCAACCAAGGATTTCAAAGCGAGCAATGGCAGTGTACAGAAAACATTTTATCTCCAGCGGAGTCTCTGATCCGAAATTCTAAGGATCATTTTAAAACTATTTTGCTATCTGTGAATGAAGTTATTTAATGCGAATCGTGATATTTAAAACTAATGTAACACGCAAAAGGTCAAAAAACACGCCCCTTTGGGACCAATAAAACTCTGAACATTTCAGATTTTTTTTTTCTTACGATTCAATATACTGCACGGAGTTATCTAACTGTAGTAGTATCTCAAACAAACACCTCATAACTGTAATAATTATTGCAGGAACAGAACAAGATCTGAATAAACTTTTTGATAAAATAATAAACTATAAGGAGACAGTAAATAATTCATCTGTTTTTTCCTACTTAATAAGAGGGCGTCTATAAAGCGTTAAATTATTACTTACTTGTAACTCCCGACGATCAGTCAATAAGAACAAATTTAAGATTAAGGTTTATTATCTTAGATAAATGAAGAAATAAAAGTATAATGTTGGTTACAAGTTAATTTCACTTTAGTATGTCAGTATTGCCATTAACATCAGAAATATGTTAGTTTTCTCAAATACCCAATATTCACAGGTAACAATCTCGATGGAAAGGAAGAGAGTTAGTTATCTTTACATGAAACAATTCATTTTGTGATATTGAAGACAGAGAGATGTAGCAATTAAACAACTAATTAATATCCAAATTAATTATTTGTATGTCTTCTATTTACAAGTAGTGTAATAGTTGTTTTAACAAATAGTATTATAATACATTTAATATTTGATCAAGCCTGTCGAGTTGTGATTTTTCTCATGCTTAACTTAACTACAGGTTAATTTCTTGTAAAAAAATCCTCATCGAGGTCTAACCCAATCGTGCTATAGTAATGTTGCTTCTCGGCTCGTGGAGAGTCGGCGTTGTTTGTCTCGCACACGAACTAGGATTTTATTGCATGCCCTTTTATGCTTGAGATGAATGAATACAAAAAATCAAATGAAGAATGGTCGACAGAGTTGTAATTTTTTTCCTATCCTCACGAACCGCACCATGCATTTATAAGAAAAATTACAGGGAGCATGGGCGCTATCCATGTGTTTTAAATAAGAGATTTTGCTAAAAAAAAGTGGTTGTTGTTAAGTTGTCATCACGTCGAAGCCAGCTTTTCTTGCCGCTTAGCTTAGAAACATAATCATTAATTCACAAACTGCGAAATTTATTCATTCTACAGAGTGATCTAAAATATCTCGATTTAATGTCAGAAACACTTCCCAATAAAAATCCATTTCATAAAACATTTATCTCCATTCCAATCTTTTAAGCGGGGAAATTTTCTATTAACCAATAATGAGCCGCTGCCCCTTTTCGAATGGAATGCAAAGTACGGCTTTAATTTTTATGATATAGAGAATACGTGAGGTTATTATTTATAAGGCATCGTTTTCTCCCGAAAGGATATTCTACTGTATATAATACTTTTACAATTAGTGTGCATTGTATTTGCCATAAATTATGATAATAATCTATTTAACTCCTGACAGAATTCAAATTTATAAAATTGTAACAAAAATATTTGGCTGTAACTGAACTATTTCATCGAACGCCATCTAGTGGCGACAAGAAGAACTTACGGTCAGTCGAGCTCCAGCTGCGATGAGGATAGGTTCTCCTTTATCTTATCTCAGTAACGCAACTCTAACGTTAATTTTAAAATGTTAGCTATTCCGTTTTAGTATATGTTCTGTTCTGATGCATATTATCTTTGTAATTGTTTCTGTGCTCTGTTAATAAATACTTTTAGAGCTAGACGGCGTTTGAGTTTATAGAAAAACGGTTGCAAAATGAAATAAAAATTCCGATTATCCAAACCCTACTTAATCCAAGTTAGAATTATCCACGGCGAACTTATATAAACAGCATATTTATTTTTCCTCGAAGGGATGTTTATTGTCTTAACGCAATTCTTATCTGTTAACTGAAGTAAATTTTTGGTGCAAGCTACGTTTGTCGTTAATTTCTCCTAGGCCCACCAGCGGCCGATCGGTAAAGTCGCTGAACCCTGGTAGTTCCGTCCGCGGTTCCAATCCCACGAACAAGTTGGCCGCATGGGCGCTTTCGTGGCTTTCCCCATGTGTAATGTGTAAACGAACCAGTTTCCATTACAAGGTTCTCCGCGAAGGCATCCCTACCCAAACCAAATCAAACCGTTAATTCCTTCAGTAAAATAAACACTCAATTACGTCTTGAATAAAAAAAAGTCCTTTTTTTATCAAATTAGTGCACAAATCTTCCCGTGGTGTTAAATTACAACGAAATAACATCATGGCAATTTCTCTCTCTCATGGCAATTTTTTTAACTATCTTTCGTTTCGACATTTTAAACAACTTATTTAAAAAATACTTTATGTTTGTTCTCTGTCTTAATTTCTGGGAGACAGTATTAAATTAGAACGTCAATCGTAACTGCTTGCTTAAAATAATTTATGACATTATATAAATTATTAAAATAATTATATATATAATAAACTAATATATCTGCACATCAAGATCAATCGAAATTCCATTTTGAAATATGTATTTTAACTTTTTGAATTGAAATTAATATAAATTTTTTGGGATGTTAATTCGTAATTTAAAGTTTACAGATTGGAATTTCTTAATTAAATTAGAAAAGAAAAGAAGAAGATTTTTTTGCATGCGACTATTTACGCCAGTGAAAGCTTTATAATAAAAACTAAGCTCATCTGTAACTACTGAATATGCGGGGACAAACTTCTTACGTAGATGGTCTAAATGGTTTCGAAACATCTTCTTCCATATTCAACAACAGGCAAACATAACAATCGCCGAAATCCTTACATTGACAAAAAAGATCTCTGCGATATTAGAGGTCAGAAAGAGTATAAAATAAAAACTATCAAAGATGCTTTTAAAAATTTTCAGAAAGATAAAATAAATGCTTCTAAAATATTTTTGTTCCTTTTCTCATGTTAGTATTTATGATTGTTATTTCAGTTCTAATTTCAGAGTAGATGCTGAAGCATTATACTGATATGTAATTACGCCAATACGTATTTAATAATTTTATTGTTCTGTGCATAAAAAGGCAGACAGCAAAATGTATATTTTCCTTTACTCATGATTTACAGAGGTATGTAATATACAGTTTTTTACTTCCTTGTACGAAGTAAAAAGGAAATATTGTAATCGCAGAAAATTTCGGGTATCACACTTAAAAGAAAATATCCATTTTGGCGGCTATTCGAATGCAATTATGCGATGTTTTGGCATGACATACGAAAGTAAGAACAGAATAAAATACTCTTTTACCCCAAACGAATTATAAAACTGATTTAAAATGGATTCAGGAGAGATTTTTTTCGTGGCGTCTGTACGTACGTATGTATGTATGTATGTATCTCGCATAACTCAAAAACGAATAGCCTTAAACGCTGAAATTTTGTATGTGGGACTGTTATAACATGTAGATGTGCACCTCCCTTTTTGGTTGCGATCGCCCCACCAAAAAAAAGTATAAATATGTGTATATATACACTTGTACTCGCTCATTGAGCTCAGTTTTTTTTTATATGTCGTAATTGTTCGTTTTTTTGCTTACAAATGATTGAATTGTGTTTTCTTTTTAAGGTTTTTATGCCTTTAGTTTAACCTGCATGCAATAAGTGGAATTCAACATTTAAAAGTGCAGGTAAGTGTACTTTTTTTGGGGGGGGCATAGCAGCCATATTTGTTTACATTTGTAATTTAGCAGAATAGTCGATTTGTTGCTAATCTAGAGAAACTAAGCTTCGCAATAACAAAGTAATGTCTTCTTTCATTATTGCGAATTAAATTAGGCTTAATGCATTCTGAAATTATCATTTAAGTTATTAAATTATCCCCCATATTGACTCAGCATAGCGTCCACAACAAGTTAAATCGGTTTAAATGAAATGCAGGAAAAAATGCGTATAATTTAATATTCCGTACAAGGAAGTCATGTGGCGTACATATCAGATTTTTTTAAACTATGAAAGGCGGCTTCAAAATTTGGGATAATGGTTAAAAACGTAAGTCACTAAACTAATGTTTTGGAGACGGAATTTTTTTATACTTTGTGCACGTTTAACATCCATGAAAATGTTTGTTGCAGAAATAAATATTTGATATAAGATTATTCTTCGCTTTACTGTTAAATGGTTCCTTTTCCAATAGGAATAATTTAATTTTAATACATAACTCGCTCCACAATTCGTTTCATTGATCATGCAATTGTCTCGCAGCACTGTTTTGTCGAAAAATTCACATCTTTTCCTACCT